TCATGCCATTCTTAGCAAAACACTACAACGCGTCAGAGACAAGTGAAGCTGATCATTTGACCAAGTGTCTACTAAGTAATCGTGGTATCTCTCCTTCCGCCCTGGGCTAATCACCACTCCTATATCCTCGTATCACGCCTTCACTATCAAAATTTTCTACTTGCTTATTTATATGTCGTATGGTGTGCCCTTTTGAGCGGCTTTCATGAGAACTCTTCACACTACGCTGGCCTTGTCAACCTCCCCATCTCTCTTCCCCCTTGTGCTGGGAATGTCGATCAGTCTGCCATATTGTTACGCAGTCCTCCTTCCCTAGGTCTTATCAGAGTCACACTCTTGCCCCGTAGGATCTGTCTGCTATCTCCCTGGTTCGAGTATTTCACTCGACCCCTGCGACCCCATCTGTAATAAAACTATGAAAATTAGATCGGAACCCACATTCAGCCCCCCGCCACTAGATAAACCAGAGTTTTGCATCAGACAGCTTGGGAATTAGATACACTTCTGAACAGACTAAAACGAGGTCGGATAGAGGTGCTTCCGTCACTGAAAACGGCGTTAGAACTTTACCACCGAAGTCGTTTGTAGGACCAGAAATTTAGAGAAAAAATGATCCCTGTCGATTGGACTCTCGAGACTAATAGGTTACGACGGAAAGATGGATGAAACAGTGATTCTGGTTCTTATGGAATTGCTTTTGATTCAGTCAGGGTTGGAAGTATTTAATTAAAACCATAATTCCGTAAAAAGTTGTTAGCCAATTAGCCAGCCATTATTACACTCATTGGCCAAAGTTTCCCTAAATCATTTCACAAGCCGGAGTTTGTGTAGTTTCTTATACCTCAAATAGAGAATTGCGCCATAAATGCAAGCGTACGCTGTAAACTATTTTAGTCACGTGTTACAAAGGGTAAAAATAGTCTATCGTGGAAGTGTAAAATAGCAATAATTAAATTCCTGTTTTGAGTATTCATAGTAGGGCACATGAATGGGAGGTATACTACAACCAAGTGCGAAAATTATGTTCACCTTGCGTTTTGACAAAGGTTTTGCCATCATAGTGGCTGTGTCATGGACAGACACACGGAGAACTCGCAGAAGCACAAAGAGCACATGTTGACAAGGCCAGCCAACAGGCAGCGTGGCTGACTCGTTGTCCATCCGTCGGCAGGTGCATTCCTGCTGGCCGATGAGAACACAGAAACGTGGCCGCTGCTGTAGACGGAACTGAGAACATCTTGGGACCCGAAAGCTGGGAACCGAGTTGGTTTGAAGGCCAGCATTGAGTTCCGCATCATTGCTTGTGGACATGCTAAAAGTGGGACTCGAGTGGGGCCCCATCGCTACCTTGCCATCTTCCGAGGTAATTGTGGTTTTGTTTAGAGTAGGGGCACCGTCTACTTCAAGAAATGTCCGGTCCATCAGGACAAAGCAATTTGGTGTGGGTTGACGCAAAAGAAGGAGGCGTGCAGAGACTGAACGTCGTACATGATCGTGCCAAAGCATCCATGCATCGCTGCCGACAATAGAGCAGGCCCCAACAACAGGAGCCGACTCAGCTTGACTGCATGAAAGCCAATCCTTATGGTTGCATTGAGAGCCATCACTTAGGCCTGTTGGACAGCCATCCGCCATAGCCATTGTAGATGGATCCAGGCCCATTTGCTCGACGGATTTCCCACATTCATGTTTAGCGTGAACTGTGTTGGCAACTGACCTATTCACTCCCTGTTGGTTTGTCAACGTGTCAGAACGTCCAGGATGTGTGCGCATGTGTATTCTGCTACTTGTTAGACCTTCTACAACTATGCTTGCCTAGGAGCATCGGTTGTAGAGATCAGCGACGCAGTGAACAGTGTGTGGGCAACATGTTACATCACTTCGGAGGGCTGGAGAGGATGAGAAGGCAAATCAAAGATGATAGTAGAGATTCAAATGAATATGAAGTTGATTACTGAGATACAGGAGGCAGAGTCTGAGGGGAAAACGACTTTGAATAAAGTATATGCAAAAATAAAATCACTTCCATTGAGGAATTTTAGCAATATTGACCTACATTAGAGAAATGCAAACTTTAAGTTGTTATCATTTTTGCAACCACAGGCATATACAAACATAACTAAGAATATTATAATATTCTTATAACCTGTAGAGTGACTTCAACAATAAATCGACTAAATATATGTCCAGGATACCAGATTGTTGGGCGTACTTTCATTTCGAGTGAAAGTGTTTGATTAAGGGATTCGAAGGTCGATTCCACCAGAAGACGTCGGCAGATTCTTCTTGACTAGCTGTCGATTGGCTTTACTGGAGTCAATAAAACTTGACTCGTAAGCTTGAATTTGGTCGTAACG